CGATTATAGAAAGCCAACACTTGCAATTTTCAAAACATTTATTAGCATATACGCTATTACAATTATATTTATCATTATCTTTTAATTATTATTATGATTATTTGTCATCCATTTGATGGATGAGAGGAGACATTGTTTGGGACAATCAATCAACATAATTATTAAACTGGAAATTATTAAGAAGATGCACCATTAGAAAGGTTTTTCATTGGGATGACAAAGTCTACATTTCAGTTTTGGGTCTGGTGCTSAGCCATTCCTTGATACCCGATGAGTCTCTAACTTGAACATAGTTGGCCTTCACTTCAGGGAATTCATCAAGTAATGATGGTTTGTGCTCACTCAAGTAATCTCCCAATGTGAACATGGAAATATCAGCATAGGTCAACTAAAAATAATTTATCAGATAAACTGTAAGTTGCTATAATGTATCAAGTGACCCTATTATAGGTGGTCGTAGTTTGTTTACATCCAAAATATAAAATTCAAAAAATAAGCAATCTGAACTCATATAATTCAAGATTATATTAATGTCAACAAAACCTGAAAATTTTAGGGCAAACGCCTTTTTACATTTCGAGATATCGGCATTTCAAAACTACAAAATCTATAGAAAACATTCAGTGGTTGGCAAAATAATGCCAACCACGGTCATTTCTTTAGAATTTATTCGGCGCTTGATATCTCTTGAATTATTTAACCAATTGCCTTCAAATTTGCAGGAATTGTTAACAGGTATGAGTTCTTTTCATTTACATGTATGGGCTTGATTTTCTTGTGTCTTGAAATTCGATTTCTGACTTTTATGCAAATTAGCTAACGTAAACATTGGTGCCCACCTATACATGTGGGTTTGGGGAACAATTGACTTAAGTTTAGTTTGGCAAGTTCACATTACCAAACAAGCTTTTTTTCTTTTCTTTTCTTTCTTTTTTTCAATTAAAGAAACACAACCAATCACTGTACCTTGCGAGCCGAATGACCATTTTAGGTGGACACAAAAATACCAGATTTGTAGGATTTCCTCAAAGTGAGCATGAACTGTCTTTCATCCTTTAAGTTTGGACAGAAATACCTTTAACTAGGTACCTCACAGGTACTATCAATCTGTAATTTATTGTAAGCTTGAATATTTTTTTGTAAGCATTTAAATGTATACAGTATTAACATGAGTTCTCACTGTATTGTGATTGGTTGGGATTCTCAAACTGAAGCTTTGACCATTTTACTTCAAGTAGCTACTTTGTTTAAGATTAATGAAACTGTGTAATGAAAGTGCATTAAAGAGGAAGATGCCATTCACCACCCCTATACAATACCTTGTCACCAACAAAGAATCCTTTTCCTTTGCTGTTATTCTTAAGCAATGCAGTCATTTTCGTATAGAAATTGGGTACAACTTTTTCATAAAACTCCTTCTCAAGGTTTTTCTGAAATTCAATGTATAATTTCCTGTGAGTTTGGTCTTGGACTTTCGCATATCTGCAGTACTGATTTTGCAAAACTATTATTTTTTTTTTATTTTCAAAATCTGAGCTAATTAAAAAAATGTCAAAAAGAAAAAAAATTATTGAGGAGGAGAGGGAGGGGGTTGGGTGGGACTATAGACCCACAGTCATACTGTCCCACAGTCATACTGTTCTGCAGCTCCTGAGCTCGCTAGTGGATCACAAAATTAAAATATTTATCAAGTACAATTATTAAGCACCTTCTTTTCCTCATCTTTTTCAAATTTGAACGCATACAATTTTCCAAACACATCAAAGAGTGAATCAACAACCATATCACATTGAGCAACCATAAAGCTGTCTTTTGGACAAAGACCTGCAAAGAAAATAACATTGCTTCCTTAACATGTTATGCAAATTTAATTTTTAAACACAATAAGTAAAAGCTAGTGAGGGATGCCTGTTGACCATCACCATGTAAGTTTGACTGAACAACTGAACAGTTTTGGTACAACATTTATTAAGTACAACTTCATGAATGCAATAATACTAGCAGGGAATTCTGGACATGGGGGACGCATGGGTGGCCGAGCGGTGAGAGCGCTGGCCTGTCACCTCTGTGGACCCTGTTCGAATCTCGGTTCGAATCTAGGTTCGAATCTCGGTTCGAATCTCGGTCGGGGCGCCATATGTGATTTGAGTTTCTTTCGTTCTCTCCCTTGCATCGAGGGTTTTTCCGGGTCTTTCCAAGTTTTCCTCCCTCAGTAAAAACGAACCATTTCTATCTGCTGTGCTCCGCGTTCAGTCATTCGTTGCTATGTAAAGGAAGCGCCTAGCCGGCAGCACGCCTATGTATAAGTGTCTGTAAAATGTGTCTGTAATATAGCACTTTGACTTGAGAGCACGTCGAGCTGCGTCTTTCGCAATTCAGCACCCATGCTGCCATGAAGGACGATTTAGCACCCAACACCTTTTTTTTTTCCTTGTAAAATTGATTACAATTAAAACTTCAGAAAAGTAGAAAACTATGGAAAGCTTGATACTTAAATGTTTTGAAGAATGATCTTACCAAACTCTCTGGCCAAATATCTCATAATAGCCAATGACTCATTCAGCTTTTTTCCATCAACTTCAAGCATTGGTAGAAATCCCATTGGGCTCAAACCAGCTAAAAATAGAAATTAGAGTACATGTCACATACCCATGAAATAAAACTTGATATGTATGTCTAATTTGTGCTATTTTGTACAAACGTAGTGGATAGCACCAGGGTGGAACAGTGCAAAGAACAATATTCAAATAATTATAGCTGCCTTTGTGATTCTTTGTATGATTTTATACCCAAGCACAATCTTAGTTAGTTAATAGAGTGATCGCAATTAATACGTGCAAATGTACAAAATAGTGCTATTTAGTTGTATTTAGTAAATTGTGCATGCGATAGGCAAATTTTAAATTTTAAAATTGAATTGATAAAAATGGGTCTTACTTCAGGCCCACTTTTAGTATGACTTTAATAGTACTACCACAGGTAGCCCAAGCTCTACTGTAAAGGCAAAAATAAATGTGACAGATATTGACTAGTGGCCATAAAAAAGGTAAAAACTAAAAAAAATATCAAAAAAAAAATCCGCATAAAACATAAAACACAACAAAAATATATGTAAGATCAAATAATTTCATTCAAAATATTTTCAATTTTTTGCCTTCACAGTAGAGCTTGGGCTACCTGTCGTACTACTTAGATTTTGTTCAGTTGCGATCACTCTAATAAAATAGTTGAAACCTAAAAACTATTAGGCACTACATAATTAGGAATTATTTCACGCTTATATGGCATGCACTCTATTTAAAACGTTTGGATACATATGAATGATTCAAATGAATATCTGACCCAAAACTCTGAAATTCAAGAACGTAAGCGAAGTTTGACTCAACTAAGAATCGCAAAGATCATCTGTAAAAAATTCATTCAAGAAATTCAGCCCCCCCAAATCAGAAGGACCATAAGAGACGAAATCATGTTATACACGCCCTTCCCCCTCCCCCAAATATCAGGTCGATTTCGTGACCTCAGCTCGAGTTGCAAAGAATCTATTATCTTGTGGACAATTGATTTTTTTTGTTCTTTTTCAAATTAACAAAGTCTAACTACTTGTTGATTAGGACTAGTTTGCAAAAAGAAACTTGTTCAAAACGAAAAGAACCGCATGTAGTACGAAAACCGCAGAAATTTTGTGCCTGGTTCTTTTGATCAAGCCGAAGTCGCGTCCATGATAATCTAACCTGCTTTCTCCTTTGACCATTCTTCGAAAGTATACCTTACATCTTCGTACTTAACTCCGGCAGCAGCAAAACAAAGTCTCGCTGGTTCTGCTCGACCACGAGCGTTAAAGTAGTACAACTTGTAAGCGGGCATAATTGAGTTCCAAAACTTGTTCAGCTTTGTATAAAAAGCTCCCGAAGTCCAAGTGGCAAGTAGCTGTCAGTCAAGCAAGAATGACACAGGGATCCCAACAGTGGACGCATAGGACAGTGATTTTAAACGTCTAAATTAAAGGTTTGAGATCAATTATTAAATTTTCGGTATGATTAAATAAATAAATAAAAAATAAACCAGAAATATCAAAGCTGTTGTTTTGTGTTACTTCATACTACAGCTCGGTAGTGACATCAAATAAAGTTCCGTTGAATAATAATTTAGTTTACTTCCAAATAAGGGTATGTGACGTTAATCGGTCACATGACCCAGGAAAAAAACAATCGTTTCTTTGGCTGTGGAAATTTCAAACACTATTTTTGTGTCCATTATATAGATTAGCGTTCACAATGTTGTAAATAATATACAGAACGTAGATATTTTATATTTTTTTTAACTGAATTTCCCGAACTAGGGTTTCATACGATCCGTAGCCCGACTTGACGATCGTTAAAGACACTGGAAATACAACAAGGCTCTGCCTGTCGCTGACAGACTGAGACCAAGTACTTTATCGCAAAACTCTAATATACTGCCGTCTGTAAGCTTTTTATTGCATCGCACTTTTTATTTAACTTTTTGTGCATTTGATACATGATGTTGTGAAATTCGGGGCAGACAAGGCWGGCCATCTTTCAACAGTAATTCTAGAAKTGGGTCTCGGAGTTAAGCATTTGTGGTGAGCGATCGCCATATCTTTTCGTCAAAAAGGTTAGTATTTAGTATTTAACTTAAATCGGTTTAATTTTTTGATTGTCAAAGTCATTTCTAAGATACATTATTTTGTCTAAATACAGTTTATATGGTATTTCAAATCAAGTAGAATGACAAAGCAATCGAGTTTCTTGAACCGTTTGCTCGATCGAATAACTTTAGTCTCAAGCTCGACCGGTTTTCAAATGTCGTCGTACATGGCTGTTTTCAAAAAAAAAAAAAATGATTTTGTTGTAGTATCGTATCGATAGTTTTGAACGATCAGTTTTAATAATCATTCGGAATTGCTTTCAAACAGCTTTGACTTCGTTCCGGGTCGTTTCCAAAGCAAACGTTTTACTGGAGTGTTCTGTTTTGTAAGCTTAAAAACAGGACATTTTGTTTTTGTTATTTCAAGTTGACGTTCAGCCAGGCAGACTAACCTTTGCTATCTGTTTAGAATAATTTTTTTTCTGCTCAACATTTGAGCCAGATATTTGTTTATCTTCGGGAGTCGATATTCTGTTTTAAATTATGTCTTAAAAGCGATAAATGCCCTTATTACCATGGGTTTTACCCGTATATAGTTTACCTAGATTGAATTTTTTAAAGTTATTTACTATTCTCATGAAGTCTTCGTCGACTAATTTTTTAGTTGGCAAATGTCCATTTTGTCAAAATGTAGACTCATCAAAATGAGTTTGACATTTGAATGACGTATATATTATGTCTCCTAGCAATGCACAATGATATAAAGACGCCTATTGTCTTCTTTCATTTTGTCTCACAAATATTAATTGCATAAGGGTTTAGCAATTTCCCTAAAGTTGATCCTATCCTGTTAGATAATATGCCCTAATACTAGACAACAATAGCACAGATAACTAATTAGTGCCCTCTTGTCATTATGTAAGATCATGGCTCTTGCTGGAGAAGAAGTTGAAAAACCTTGTTCTTCAAGTCAGAAGCAAGTATCATCTGGTAGTAGGAAAGATACAAAGCAAAGAAGAAATGGCAGATTTTCATTRCGTAGACTTTTTAGTYGCTCCAGAAACTATAAAGGTGAAAGCAAAAATGACAAGATCTCAAGGAGTAGGAAATCCAGTAGTGAAACAATGGTGATTTGTCCTGTGTGTTTTGTTGTGAGACCAAGAAGCATGTTTCCAGAGATTTCTACATGTGAACATAGATCTTGCATAGAATGCCTACGGCAGTACATGACAATTGAGATCAATGAATCACGTGTGAATTTAACATGTCCTGAATGCTCCGAACGATTCCATCCTAATGATGTGAAACTCATACTCAATGATGATGTTTTAATGAACAAATATGATGAATTTACTTTACGGCGGACATTAGTTTCTGATCCTGATTGTCGCTGGTGCCCTGCTCCAGATTGCGGGTATGCAGTAATTGCAACTGGTTGCGCAAGCTGTCCTAAACTTGAGTGCCAACGACCAAATTGTAACACTGAATTTTGCTACCACTGTAAGCAATTATGGCATCCAAACTTGACGTGTGATATGGCTCGATATCGACGGGCAACACATATAAAGTCATTATCTACTGAAGGACGTAGTTCTAGGGAAAATGATGATATGAAACCTTGTCCAAGGTGTGGTGCATTTATTATTAAGATGGACGATGGTTCGTGTAATCATATGACTTGTGCTGTTTGTGGTGCGGAGTTTTGTTGGCTTTGCATGAAAGAAATCTCAGATTTGCACTACTTGAGGTAGGTATTTTTCTAAAAACACTTTAAACATATTATATAATAATTTATTATACACCTAATTGCAAATTTGCAATAGTTGTCATATGAAAATGAAAAATAAATGTTTGAAAAAAAACATTTAAGGAATTTAAAATAGGAATAGGTTAAAATCAAATAAATTTTATTAAAGTCTCTTTGTATTTTAATCAATTCCTATTTGTAAAATGTTATTTTTCTGATGCCTAATTCTATATTTTAATTCTATATGACAACAACCTTGCAGTTAGGTGTACATGATGTTGACAGTCTTATGCTACAAAAATATTCAGTTGCAAAAAGGATCTTCTCCTTTGACATTGATACAAACACAATGGTGGTACACGCAATATTTGTTATTGTAAAAAGGTCATATTCCTATAGGCAAATAACATGGACGATTCACGGGCATATTGTTGATAATGATAACCTTATAAGGGATGCACCAAGAAAACAGGTCCAACTCTTTTGTTTTGTCAAATGAAAACAGGAGTGACCCCATAACCTAAGGGTGCTCTATTTAATGCATTTTGCAAAAAAATTATGAGTGTTCAGGGCTCTCACTAGAAACAAAAGTAGACGTCAAAATAGGAAAAGTAACCATGAAAATAGGAAAAGTACAGCCAAATAATAATTTGTGAATAAATTCGTAAGTAGCCGGCAATTAACTAAGCTATAACTGGGGATTTTTGCCGTCTGCCGGCTTCTGCTGAGAACCCTGGGTGTTTATAGAGACTACAAATTCATTGCTGATTATATATACTAGACAATAGAGATTTCAGCTTGAGTTATCTTCCTTTGTCCACTTATGACATATGACAACCTTATTGCTAGTAGATATTATGAGCACCAGAAATACACTTTGAAACTAG